TTCAACCCCCTCTTTGCAGGGCTGTGATCCCAGAGATTTGGGGTAAGAACCATCCCAGTATCCAAGACTTTTGGTCAGAGCTGCCAGCTCCTCCTGCAGATCCAGCAAACCCTCGGCTCCCACTTTGGGACAGGAGGACCAAGCTGTAACATTTGTAAATCCTGAAATAATGGAAAAGCTCCCAAACCAGCTACAATTCCCACTTTCCACTCATCCAGTATTTACCACAGAGCCTTCAAATGTCACTCTGAGTGTAATGAACAGGGCTGGGAAGGAAGAAGCCTTTGGGATAATCAGCACAGCTTAGACAGTGACCTATGAATCACTTTGCAGGAAGTCCATCCTCCTTCCCAAGAAAAACGTGCATTGAAGCAGCTGAACAGGAGGTTGGTTGTCCAGGCTGGATCAGAATGAAAGGAATAATGAATTGAAATAGTGAATGTACAAGGGTTTTGTCAGGAATTCAAGCCTGAGAGTCTCCTGCACGTGTCAAGGTGAAGGGAGCTTTGAGGGGAAGTCAGGAGTGAGGAAGAAAAGCAGGACTGGGGCAGCAAAATTCCATGGATGAGAATGAAACAGTCTGTGTAGGCAGAGATTACAAAGGGGAGAGTTCAATCCCACTCAAAGCTCACAAATCAGTACTCACAAATCCAGCGCTCAACACTCACAAATCCAACAGTCAGCACTCACAAATACAACATTGAGCACTCACAAATCCAACATTCAGCATTCACAAATTCAACACTCAATGCTCACAAATCCAGCACTCAACACTCAGAAATCCAACACAGAGCACTCACAAATCCAACACTCAGAACTCACAAATCCAACACTGAGCACTGCCACAACAATATCTGGCCATGTTTTACCACAGGACAGTAAAACCTGACTAATTCTGCACCCTCACATTCTGTCCTCTCTCAAATTTTGTTGTTCTCCCACTCCATCACCTGAGTTGACAGAATTTGAGGCTCTGATCTCTTTGAAAGAATTGGGTTGGGATTTTGGGGGCCTGGTTGTCACCCCAGTTACACACAGGGATTTTTGGAAAACCACTTCCTCCTTCTCTGCCTGTTTTTCTATTTGTGGACAGGAACTTATAATTCTTGCTCTGTCCAGCCCCTTTGCTGGGCTGTTTTAGGCTCCTTGGAGTAGATTCAGGCTCTTGCAAAACGTTTATGCAGAGCTTGGCAGAAAGGAGTCAAGGTTTTGCCTGGGACCTATGGAATATTCCAGAAGCAGAAGATATTCCCTATGGAATATTCCAGAAGCAGAGCCCAGCTGGTTGCACTGCAGGAGCTGTTGGGAAATCATTGATATCCAGGTTATGGGTAACTGGGATCAGCTTGGCCTCCAGGTTTCCTCCTGTAATTCCTGACATAATTCACATTTTCCTGATTGTGAAATGTTAAATCTGGCCTTGTGTGTGCTCAGAACAGCCCTGCACTGAATGCTCCATGCCCCATGCCCTCCCAGCAGCTGGGATGGGCTGCAGTGCCAGGCAGAACTGCTGAGTCACGGCCATTCCAGAGGGATATTCCTGATGCTCACGTTTTCCACCACTTGTGATGCAGATTTTGATGATCTAAAAGGCCATTTCTTCCCTCGGATGTCCCTGATCCTCTGACATTTAAACAAAAGGCAATCATCCCACGGCTTCTGCTGGGAAGAGCTGGAACTTTGCCAATCACAATATTCCCCTCCTCTTTCCAATGACGCGGGAACGATGGCCTGGGTGCCTCAAAGGAGGGTCTGAGCCGAGGGTTTAAACTGAGCTTTAGCTTCAGGCAGAGGCTGGCACAGGGGTGGTGGAGTTGCTTCACCTACAGCTTCTGGCTAACAGTCATTACAGCCGTTCAAGTAGTTCATTAAAAATTAAAAGTCCTAATGGGAACCACTCAGCTGGATAAAATCCTATTCCTAAACAAGTCCAGAAAAGTAGGGTCTGATTTACAGCAAATTGCATTTAAATACTTGAATACACAAGAGCCCTGCTGGGTGGGTGTTAAAATAACCCCCAAATTCAAACATTCAAACATCAGAAGGTTCAGACATCAGAACATTCACACATCAGAGCATTCAAACATCAGAACCGTCAAACATCAGAGCATTCAAACTCAGCCATGGAACGAAAAGGTGAAGAACTCCACAAATTACTTGAGCAAATTACTCAGTGCCCAACTTCGTGTCAGACCTTTGAAGAGGAAAGAAGTCCCAGCTCCTAAACTCTCCAGTTTCCTTCTGCTTTTGCCATTCCCACCAGCAATGCCACCAAGAGCTCACCGATGTCCCCAAATGTCAGTGTTGGAGCACGAGATGGAAACAGATTCCATGAATCCGGTTTCTCTGGAATGGATGGGGATTCACAGGATTCATGCACAGATTCAGCTCAACCTGGTGCTTGGGGACACAGATTAAGGGTGGCATTGGCCACCCAAGTGTTGGGTTAAAGGCTGGCCTTGATGACCTTAAAGGTCTTTTCCAACCTAAATCATTCCATGACCCTGTGTTGGATTGACATTTAGGGAAAACAAAGGGAAACACCTAAAGAAGTTTAGGCTGCTGAAGGCTGCTGGGATTTTTTCCTCCTAGCCAATCACTGGCTATTTCTGAGAATTGACATTAATTTTGACCATTAAAAGTGAGATCAACCTGTGAACACCACCTTAAGACCTAAGCCTGGGAATTTCTTTGTCTCTTTGTTCCTGGCTGTGAAAGGTAACAGAGCTCCAGCTGGCCTCCTGTCCCCTGCCCAGGCCGTGCAGCCCAGGCGAGGGCTGGGCTGGGCCTGCCATGGCTCTCGGCCAAGAGATGGGGCCTGCAGGGCTTCTCCTGGGCTCCGGCCGGGCCAGGCCGGTCTCTGGCTTGGCTGCAGTTTTTGCCACTTGTTTCACCAGAGACTGCTGAGTAAGGAGAGAGAAATCCATTGACCTGTGGCGGGCCTCAGTGTGACCACACTCTCCAGAGCAGCCATGAAAAATCTTCCATTGCAGACAATTCCAGCCACTGCTCCAGCAGAAATCACCAAACCATCTAAAATGCCTGGGCAAGATTTTAACTTTTTCACTACCCAGATGAGACTTGCAGATTAATCCTTTTTTCCTGAGAGAGGAGAGAGAGTGATCAACAGGTAAAGAGACAACATAAACTATCAAAAACAGTGAATAAAGGAATTAAGCTTCAGATGGGAGAGAGAAATAAGGAGATGCTTTAATAAGCTGAAATATTCTTTTGCTAAAACTATGGTTTTAGCAAAAGTGTCTGAAAAAACTCCTTTAATTCATGACAGAGTATATTGGGGGGAATGGAGTATTTCAAAGTGTGGATTTAAGCATTTGGTGAAGTAGTTGTAATCTTATGAGATGCTGGAACAGAAAAAGAGAAGTGACAGTTGTTGAAGATTTATGGCCTTTAAGAGGCAAAGAGAAAATTTCTGTTTCCAGAAATGCTGACAGAGACAGATGAAGAGAACTTTTGCCTTTGAATAACTCATCCTTCAAATGACACCCCTTGACTTCATGGCCCAAAAACCCACCTCAGAGTGGTGTGAAATGGGAGGAGAGAACTGATGACAGTTTCCAGGCAGCTGGCATCAGAGAAATAGAAAACCATAAGAAGAATGGTTTTCTTGTGAAAAACTCCATAGATTAGCAGAAGAAAACTTTTTCTCTACAAAGACTGATGAAAAGACTATGGCAAAATTAAGACTGTTTTAACCACCAGGGGTTTTTTTGTCTCCATGTTGTCATGTGAACAAAGGAATGGTTGGGTAGTGGAGAAAAAGGGGTTCTGGAGGTTTTATTCTGGTTTCTTATTCTTGTAGTTTTTGTTAAATTTTCTTTGTTCCTTTTAAGTTGTAAGCCTGTTTTGCTCTTTTTCTAATCCATATCTCACAGCAAGAAATGAGTAAGTTTTCTAGTAATTTTTTTAGTTAATGCTTTAAACTCATGACACCCTGTAATTGCTCTCCCTCCCTGGGGGACTCCCCTCCCCTATCCCAAGAAATCCACGCTGTCAGTGATTAATTCCATTCCAAGTTTTCATTTGTCTAAAGGAGAACAAAAGCCGTGGCGGGGCACTCACAGAAAGGAAGGAATATATTGTCATCATCCAACAATCAGGAATAATGGGAAAGGTCAGGAAAACACACAAAAGGCCAAGATTTCAGCTGGTGGAAGTAGCAGAGCTCCACTGGTGACGTTGGGTCAGAAACTTTTACTGCATGAGGTGATTAGACTCCAGCCTTGGAGCCTTGGAGCACAACTTGCAGAGGAGCAATCTGGTAATAGAAAAAAACAACAACAACAAAAAGAAAACAAATCCCCAAATCCAGCCAAATGTGGCAGACCCATGATTTTCATGGCTCTCTGTGCCATATTCCCCAGCCTCCAGCTGATGAAACTCCCTTTCAATTTGTTCCTATCTCCCTCTTTTTTGCACAACTGCTTTAAAACCTTGCAAATTCCAAGGAATGTCAGGGCTATTGCCTAGAATTCCTTATCCCAGAATCCTGCAGCATTAAACTGCTATTTCCAGATGGCATAGATGTTGTTCCACTCAGATGGATGTTGGGAGGCCTAAAGGAAGATCCTTACAATCCTATGGATCGGAAAAGGAAAATTCCTGGTGTTTTCTTGGCACTTCAACCAGAATGTTGGATGGGAAAAGGGGAAACAGGCCTCAAGTTGTGCCATAGGAGCTTCAGGCTGGATGTCAGGGAATGTTTCTTCACTGGAAGAGTGGTCAAGCATTGGAACAGTCACAACCCCTGGAAGTGTTGAACAAAAAATGAGCAGTTGTGGCAATTCAGGATTAGTGGGAATGGTGGGATTTGGTCAATGCTTGGACTCGATGATCTTGGAGGTATTTCCCACCTTTTCCACCCTTAATGATTTTGTAATTTTATGGAGCTATCAATAACCCATCTTGGAAGTCTTTTCCAACCTTAATAATTCTCTAATTCTATGGAGACATCAATAAACTCCCTTGGAGGCCTTTTTCCAACCTTAAAAATTCTTTATTTTTATAGAGACATCAATGGCTCCTCTTTTCTTCTCTCCTCTTTCACCATGGGATCCCTTGGGCTCAGCCATCAATGTCCTCTCCCTGCTTTTCAAAGCTTGGCATCTCCACTCAAGGAAACCCAAATCTCAGGACATTTCATCTTCCAAACCCTTCCCAAACCCTTCCTCCACCCCGTCCACTGGGGGTGTTCCATGAGTAAGGGTAAAGATCCGAAGGAGAGAGGCCTGGAGAAGTTGGCTCTGGATGTACGGAGAATTCTCGTCTCCAGGACTGTCAGCAGGAGCACGTTCTCATTATTAATATTTTGATGTTGGGTATTTTTCCAGGCCAAATTGCAGCTTTCAAAGTTCTTCCCCAGCAGGAATTTGTCCCCTTTTTTATTTCTTGCAGAACCAGGCCTCCAAAAAGCTTCCCAAAGGTTCAGTGTGAGGCAGCCTGTGCCGCTTACACGCATGGGATATTCCCTTTCCATGAGTCACAGAGCAGATGTGCCTCGTCATGTGATGCCTGGAGTGGCACTGGAAAGGAAAAGAAAATTAACTCATCCCTTGGAATTGGAGAATTCCAGGGAGAATTTGCACACCCAGGCATCAGATTGATCTCTTTATCCTTTGTTGTTAAAATTGCAGCGGCAGAAATTAAATCATCAGTGAGCCTGGTAAAGGGCAGCTGCTCCTTCCAAGCAAGGTGGAGATCATCTGGAAATCCCCAGGAAAAAAGATAAAATATATCTTTTCCCAAGAGGGGTCTTGTGATGCGAGTTATTTCATGGGATCATGGAATGGTTTGGGTGGGAAGGGACCTTAAATCACCCAGTGCCGCCCCCTGCCATGGCAGGGACACCTCCCACTGTCCCAGGCTGCTCCAAGCCCCATCCAGCCTGGCCTTGGGCACTCCCAGGGATCCAGGGGCAGCCACAGCTCCTCTGGGAATTCCACCCTAGCCCCTCACCACCCTCACAGGGAAGGATTTTTCCCTACTATCCCATCTAAATCTCTTTTTCAGTGGGAAGCCATTCCACCTTGTCTCAGTACTCCAGGCATTTGTAAATATTTTCTGTTTCAGTTCTCCTTTCCAGTCTTGAAAATAATTTTGGGAGGCGTTGAACGTAGGTGTTTCTTTCCCAGGGTGCTGGGCCAGTTTGGGAGTAGTCACAGAAGCATCAACCCCACAAATCTGTTTAAAAAAGGATGAATTTTGTCAATCCCAAAAGCCATTTGTTGGCAGCTGTTCCAGGTATGTCCTAAACTCACCTTTCACACTTAGGCAAGAGTTGCCCTGACATGTTCCTGGCTCCCTCCAACCTTCTCCAGGCAGAACTCAGGGAGGGATGGTTGTGATTCCTGGCAGAAAAGAAAACGAGAAACAGCCCCTGGTTAGTCTGGAGCACTTGTTTAAATCCAAAATGCAAACCAAGACAATGAATGTCTCAATTTGCAGACACTGCTGAGTGGAAGCAGTTGGATATTCCCTGCAGCTGGATGTTCCCTGCAGCTGGATGTTCCCTGCAGCTGGATATTCCCAGCAGTTGGATATTCCCTGCAGTTGGATATTCCCTTCAGCTGGATATTCCCTGCAGCTGGATATTCCCTGCAGCTGGATATTCCCTGCAGCTGGATATTCCCTGCAGCTGGATTTTTTCCTGCTCAAAGGCAAGTGTTGTGCTATTATTTAAAACTGAGGAGTTGAGAAGCTGATTCCATTTCCACTGAGGGAAAAACCTGCACCTAGTACCCGTCTAAACAGATCTATACATTTTATACTGTTTTTCCCCTTTTTCCTTTCAAATGATCATTTCATGAGCTGCTGGGATGTTTGTCTGTCCCAGAGGAGAAAAGTGGGCATTGAACTCAGGAAGGAATGGAAGAACTGTCAGAGGTCATTTATTGAAGTCACTGTTTCTTTCTCTACCCCAAATTTGTCCCTTCCCCATCACAGCAGAAGCAAATCCAGCACCTCTTTACTGGGATTTAATGCTGATGCACAGGGCAGGATCCCAACAATTTGGTGGAAACCAGGGAGGAGGCCCAGTTTTACTCCTGTGCCATCAGTTCTGGATGTTCTGTCCCTCCCTCCCCAGCTGAAGCAGCTCCCAGCCCAATTAAAGCCAGATAAGTGCAAGATGTTGGTGACAGATTCCCAGAATCACAGATTAGGCTGCAAAAGTCCTCTGAGATCATCAGTGCAGAGGCTCTATCCCATTTCACTCCAGATCCATGAAAGCTTATTTCATTATTCCAAACAAGCAGGGTAATTAGGCACAGCATCCATCTCCTTATCAGCTGCAGGTGAAAATTCACCTTTAGTAGTTTTTAACTCAATAACCACAGATCTTTGATGAGCTCCAGCAGCTGCTCTGCTGGCCCAAGTCACATCAGCAGGTCCTCTGGGGAGAATTTTTTCCAGATTCCCTTAATTAGCTTCTCCTGCCTCTCTCTGCCCACTGAGGAAGCTCCAGAGATGCCTGCCTGGTGCAGGAACAGGGCAGGCCCGTGGCTGCTCTGTGTCACCACAGACGTCCTGCTCCATCCTCCCCACAGGGTCCCTTGAAGGTCCTGGTTTGCTCCTTATTCCAAGGTGTGATTTCAAGATAAATTGGAATCCCAGCCATTAAACCCAGTGCAAATGGTGCTGCTGGGGATAATTACCAGGTGTAGGAGAGCTGCAGGACCACGGAGCTGCCTGGAGCAAGAACCTCCCATCAGTTATTTGTGGAGGAAACTCTGCTCACAAGGGCTGTGAGCTGGCAGAGAGCACAAATCCCAGAAAAATGACCCTTCCAGCCCAGGAAAACAGGGATTATTCTCTTTCCAGAGGCAACAGCAAGGCCTTCAAAGCTCTGGGAGCAGCTCCACCACGTCCTCCAGGAGGGATATCAGAGTACACAGCGCTCGTGTCCCTGAGCTCTTGTGGGCAGCTGGCTCTGCACAACCTCACCCGGTGCTGGCAGCCAGGGGATGGAATTTGGAGGCTGCTAGGGCTCCGAGTGCAGCCACAAGAAGAGTTTCCCAATGGAAGCTACTCCTGGGAAAGAGCTGCACTAACGAGCCTGCAGCTCATTAACGGTGTGGTTTCATCTCACCAGCCTGGTGCCTCTCCCAGGTCATGTCCACCTCAGTGACCCTGTCTGGTGAAAACTGCCTTCCATCACAGGGGCCTGATTTGTCCTGGGAACTCTTGGAGACATTTATAAACAACATTTAAGTGGCAGAAATGTGCTTTGAATAGCTTGGAGTTCTGCGAATTCCTAAATGTGGTGGTGGTAAATAATTCCCTCTCTATATATGTTTGTTTACACAGCCGGACTTCAAAGCAACTCAACAGCTCACTTCAGTGAGCTTTCCAGCAAACAGGAAAATGATGGGAAACACCCCGGTCCCTGCTCAGCTTGGCTGGAGAGGGCAGCAAAATGCCAGCAGGAATTCCTTGGGAGCACAGCTCAGGTTGTTTGAACCACACACTCAGGACCCAGGAGCTGGCCATGAGGTGATTTGGGCTGAGTTAAACCCACACAGTTTGTCCCTTTTAAAGATGGGAGAAGGTTACAAAACAACCATCACAGAAGCCTCTTAGCCTCTCATCCCCACTCCTGGGATGAATAATCCTGTGGAAGAGGAGTGGGCGAAGCATTAGGAGCTGACATTGCTGCCAGCCCTGATTATAAACAACAGCACACAAACGTAAGAGCTCTTGGTTCATTTTTCCCATTAAAAAAAACCACTTGGTATTTCAAAGGAATCTGCCAGGGAAAGGCTTGTTTGGAAGTTCCATGGATAGAGCAACAAATCAGCTCATTTACAAACCATCCCTGTAAGTGGTGGTTGGTGGTGGGAAGGGGACAGAGGAGGAAGGGAAGAGGCTGTTCTCTCTCTGGTTTTGCTCTCTGTGCTGCACATCCCAGGCTCTGGAGGGGTGGATTTCATTCTCAGCCCTGATCCCTTCTGTCAGCTGTGCCAGGAGCACTGGGGAAGGGTCCCCAGGGCCCACAATGGATCCAGCTGGGCCAGTGGGTGTCAAGCCTGGATCTGAGTTTGCTGTTGAAGAGAGGAAAACCCTCATTAACCTCAATAATACTCCGGGAATGTTCAATCCAAAGGGAGGCGAAGGGATAGGATTGGGTATTTATTTGTTTTAGGCTTTTGTAAAATGCCTATGGTCAAACAAACATCTGGATTGTGGAATAGAAGCAGACAGACTCAGACTGAAGTGGGCTGGAGACACCAACCACTCTCATGTCCCACAGGAAAACAGGCCAAGGAAAATCTGACCCACAAACAACAATTACCAAAGGCCAGGGGTTAAAATGACCGAGGACTGGCTGATCCCTTTGGGAAGCCACGCCTGGAGCTCCGTTACATGGTCCTTTGGAATATGCTGTGGTATGTGGAGCCTCTCAAACGGACAACACCTGCATCCTCGATCCAGAGGTAGGGACATTAAAGAGGTTTGGCAGAATTCTCACAGCTCCTTGTATCCCAAATAATTCAACCTAAACATTCCAGGTCCTGCAATGGGAAAGGCTCTGCCAGCTGGTTTGATGTGACCAGGAGGAAATTCCTTGTGCATCAAACCTGCAATGAGATGTTGCAGGACATGGAAGAGGATGTTCTACAGGAACTCTGGAACTCGAGATCCACCGGGAATCTGCTGCTGTTGATCTGTGATAGAGATTCCAGTTGTAAGTGGATCTGTTCCAAGCTCCATGTCTTCAGGCTGGGATGTTCATCCCAGACAACACAAGGTTTCCTTTTCCCTTATCCTCTTGATAATGGATCTTGCATCCAGGAGGAGCTGGTAATTTAACCAACACCCTCCCATGATGCTGGCTAATCCCGTTCTCTAACTAACAGGCAATGGGAAAAGCCAGAGAGAGTTTGAAGTTTCAAATTCAGACCAGGCTCAGAAATCAAGCAGGGATTAAGACCAGGGTTATGGAAATGGTCTAGGTCTCATTCTTCCCCTGCCAAGAGAGCAGCTCCTGCCTTGGGGGTGCCATTATTGCCTTGGAGGAATCACAGGGGATCCACCCCACAGCTCACTCCTTAAAAACAGGGATGGGTGGATCACAGAACCCTGGAATGGTTTGTTTGGAAGGGACATTCAATCCCATCCAGTGCCAGCCCTGCCAGGCAGGGACAGCTCCCACTGGCCCACGGCGCTCCAGGGATCCAGGGGAAGCCACAGCTCCTCTGGGAATTCCTTCCCAGCCCCTCCCCATCCCCACAGGGATACAAATGGCTTGGTCCAGAAGCAACCTAGGAGGGGAGAGGGATGCAGAGCAGGCCAAAGGATCACAGAGAGGAGCTTGGACAGGCAGTTTTGGGTCTGCAGCACATTTATTGTTGAGAAAGTACCTGTGAAAACATCCTACACCTCAGTGAGAAAGAGCAAGGCTCCAGGAGATTTAACATAAGAGAGTGAGAGAATATCTCTCCCAGACTTTGCTGTGATTTTTTCTTTTTAGAAATCAGCTGGGGTTTTTTTTTAGAAATGGAGGAAAAAAGAGACCAAGAATCTATTTCAGCACTTAGCTGTGATCCTGAGATGTAACAGGGTTGGAATTAAGCCAAATAAGCACAAGCTCCCTGTGTGCAGGTAAGGACATGGAGAAACTTCTCCAGCTCTCCAGGACACCAAATCCTCCCTCCAGTATCCAAGGAAAGATTCAAACAAAACCTAAAATGGAATTTAATGGCTGAAAGCCCCTGGGTGTCTGACACCAACACTTCCAGCCCTTAAATGACTGAGCCCAAGGTACCACAAATGGACAAATAATCCCAAAAAGATGCAGAGATTTTTCCCAAATCCAGAGATTTGACTCCCCCTGTCATCCCCAGACCGTGTTTTGGTGCTACCCAGGGTTAGAGGCAGACAAGTGCTTTGTTCTTTTGTGGTTTGGGGTTATTTTTAGACCCTTGGGCTCCTTTTAGTTTGAATTAAATGTCACTGGTAATTAGCTAAGAGAGTGCCAGCTGTGGGGCAGCGCATGAGTGAGCACACGTTGGATCCCGAATGAATGGAAAGATTTCTCCTTTTTCAGGAACTGTTTCCTTTAAAGTCTTTTTTTTTGTGCTCCTGTTATAGCAGAGGAACTTTGAAACATAAATTAATTAAGTGATTTTTCTTCTCTGCTCTCATTCCACTCCCCTAAGGGAGAAAGATGCAAAGTGGATGTAAAAACAATCACAATAACTCCACACCAAAACACTTTTTTTAACCTCCAGTAAATGTTTGAAAAGCTCCAGAGCTGAACAGCTCCAAAATCCAATTTAAAACTTCCCTTCCTCCCAGCCAAAGGAAGTGGGGAATTCTTTAAAAGCTCCATTTCACAGAATATTT